CTGCCGCCCCCTCCCTCTCCGCTCTGCCCCTCTCGACTTTGGGGGGATTTGTCTCGAGTTTGATGGCGCCATTCAAGCTGCCGTTCCGAACGCCGTTATTGTCCCGCTGATGTGACAAATTAGCTGGGTTAGGGGGTGGCCGGGGGGTGCGGGTGCGGGAGCGGTTGGGGGGCGGCATTTACAATGCAGGGAGAGAGGTGTATAGCCTCGCGGTCACGGTGCGTGCGCCGCGTTGCGTCGATAGCGCAACCCCCTTTCCCCCACTTTTCCGTCCCCTTCGCTTCCCTTCCTTTCCCTTTGCGTGATGAATGGACGAACCTGAAAAGGCCGCACCAGGCCGCCGGCCCAGCGCCCACACCACGTCGGCCTTCAGCTCGACCGTGATGTGGTTGGAGGCGGGCAGGAGGTGCCGGTTGTCCTCCAGGAAGCGGAGGATGGCGTCCGGCTGCGGCGGCAGCGCGGGGTCGAGGTACAGCGTCTGCAGCAGCCCGCCCAGCACCGACTGCAGCATGGTGGCGCGGTCGGCGGGCACGTCCAGGCCGCAGCCCCAACAGCGCCAGGGCCCCGTCAGCGACAGAGGCGACGCGGGCAGCACCGGGCCTTGGCAGCAGTCGGCGCCGCGCCCCCGCGACGGGCAGGGCAGCGCGGCCAGGAACGTGCCCCCTTCCTGGCGAACAAGAGCGGGGACCTTGTCAGCTCTAATCCCACGAGCCAGGCCGCGAGGAGCAAGGGGAAGGGGTGCTCACCGTGGGGTCCTTGCAGCGGGCGCAGGTGCACAGGAAGTGCTTGGTGCGCAGCAGGTGCTGGCGGCGCGCGGGCGAGCCCCAGAGCAGGGCTGAGTAGGTGACGGTGAGCTCCTCGCCGCGGGCTACCGGCCTGGCCGCCCGGATCACCATGCGGCCGCGCGAGTCGTACGAGTGCCTCGTGTTGGGCGTGCACTCGTGGTTGAGCAGCGCGCCCAGCGGGTACAGCCCCCGCAGCGCGCCCTGGCCCGGCCCCCACGCCTGCAGAGGGACATCAAGCAGCGGCGGTCAACTCCCGAAACATGATATGATGTCTCCCGTCTTTTGACCATATGTCCACAAGCTGTGAATATGCCGGCCCCGTGGCCATGTGACGTTTTTCACTCCTCGCCCGTCACCCCCCTTCCTGATGGCTCCCTGATTGCCGGTGGCGGAGCCTCCCAGTGCGTTGTGCGGCTTCGTTAAGCGACCGTTATTATTAGAGACAGTGGACGTCAGGCGCGAAGCGCTGCCTGCTTGACGCCCGGGTGCAAAGTAGCCAAGAGCTGACCTCAGTAGGGGCGGCGTCCTGCGCGGCGTCCCGGTCGGCGTCCTTGGCGGCCGGCAACGTCATCCTGAAGGCGTTGGCGTCCATCACGCAGCACGCTAGGCGCATGAAGCGCTCCTCCTCCGGCTTCGGCGAGTCCTTCACGCTCTCCAACACGAGTCCAACCTGGAGACAGGAGTCAGATTTTAGAATGATAAATCTTGTCAAAACTTTTGTGGTTTTTCTAACGGGCGCACTGTAAGTACGGGTCTCTGGTCTGGTCTCCTACCTCGAAGGAATGCTGGCGGCCGTGGTGGCTCTGCATGGAGGCCATGATCTCCCGCTGCTCGGGTGGCAGCGCGAGGCACCGCACGGCAGCCGAGCCGCGCAGCAGGGTCTCGGACCACTGGCCCGCGTCCCCCTTGACGCCCCAGTGCCGCAGCAGCGCGCACTCGCCCTGGTGGCCGTCCGCGTCCTCACAGCCCCGCCTGCTGCAAGAGCGCACGGGCTAGTAACGGGTCCGACTGGTCGCACGTGAAGAAGCTCGTGGAGCAGCCCTTACCTCACGCAGACGGGCAGCCTGCAGCCCCGGGGGCAGGCGCGGAGCTGGGCGGGCGCGCGGGACTGCAAGCAGCCGACGCACACCGCCGGAGTGTTGAGGTCGCTGGACGCGCGCGGGCCCAGGGTGAGCGGCGGGTCCACCAGCACCAGGTCGCCGGGCTGCAGGTCCCTCGTGGCCACCACGCCCCGCCCGCCCAGCGGCGACTGGATGATCTCCCAGGCTGCACCCGCCTCCTCCGGCGCCACCCCGTTGGCGCGAAGGTGCCGCGCCATGAGGGCGCGCGTGTCCTCGACGGAGCGCCCCATCTGGACGCCGATGCCCACGGCGCGCAGGTAGAGCGGGAACACGTCGTAGATGTGGTCGCCGAGCCGGGCCTCGATGGCGTTGATGAGGTTGCCCTGGGCCCGAGTCAGCCGGTAGGGCGCCGCGTCGCCACCGCCGCGCTCGCGTTCGCGTTCGCTCCCGCACCCACTGGCGTCATCGTCGGCGCCGATATGACAGCTGAGCGCGCCGGCCGAGCCAACAGCCTGTTGGCCGCTGCCGCCGCCGCCCGACTGGGGCCGCTCGTCGCGGGCGTCGCGCGGGGTGTCGCGCCCGCTGCGGCCAATCAGCTGACGGCGGTCGCCGCGCACGACGCGCTCGCCGTCGCCCCCTGTCCCGCCTCCGGGGCTAGTCGCCGCACCGGGGTCGTCGTCGTCATGCAGGTCATCATTGCAAGCGCAGGGACGATCTTCTTGCAGGTCGTGCCCGGACGGGCGGCGCCGCTGCTGCCGCTGGCTCGAGCTATTCGCGGCGTCTTCTTTGCCGGGCTGCCGGCCCCCGCCGGCCGGCGCGCCCCGCACCGCGGCCACCGCCGCGCCGTCCTCGTCCTGCAGAGCAGAGCCAAGTCCGGCATTGTCTCAGTTGATGCGTGATGCTCGCTCGCCCCGCCCCGCCCCACTCCACTCGTCACTTTGATGTGACGGCCGCCAGGCCCGACACACGTCCGATGTGACGGCCTGGGAGACACCTGAGACACCAATCTCAAGACGTGTTGGCGATGAAGCACATGAGCGAGTCTGTCATGTCAAGAAGGGAAGGGGGGATGAAGACGTGGTGTCGACGGAGGGCAGAGGAGAGGGGAGATCACGGGATCACGGGCAGGCCGTGATGCTGCGGAGTATTCACGCACCCGTGGCTCCTCCTAGCCCGCGTGGAGTCTTGCCAACCTGCGGCGGCGGCGGGCCGCGGGCCGCGGGTGGGCGGGCCGGCCGGCCGAACCACGCCGGCCGGGCGCCGGGAGGTAGGCGGACCCGCCACGCTCGCCCGTCCAGCGGGACGGCCTACCCGCCAGGCGCCCTGCCTGCACCACACCCCCACCCCAATGAGGACCACGCCGAGGAGTCGGTCGGGGAGCGTGTTCGCACAAGCAAACAGGCGCATTAAAATACGTTTACGTTGATTCCGAGGAACAGGCCACGCTGCCGCTGCCGAGCCCTCGATAGAATTCATGCCCACCATATGGATGGCCATGTAGGACTCGTTTGTTAACACGTTAAGCTAAAGAAGAAGATCCCTTAAGTGTCCTTTATCCCTTTACCCATGCTACCCTCCCTGGTTCGTTCCGTTCACGATCGGCCTGATCCCTTGAAAACTGCGACGTTTCCGTTTATACAATGAAAATATGTATTCCTACAGATATGTCCTCGTGGGGCCTCGATACCGGCGCCTTGGAATTGTTTACTACTTCGAATTTAAATTCATCCGTGGGGAAATAGTTTAGCAAAATAGAATAATATAGCGCTTATAAGGGGAGAGATCGCTGAGACTGTTTCCTGTTTCCGCTGGAGACGCCGCCGCAAGGTAGGCCGCACCGCGGGCCCGGGGCCCAGGGGTGGGCCTCTCTCCGCCCGGCGGGCTTCGTACTCGGCGCTGCTCCTGACCCGAACAGGGCCGAGCTAGATCAGCCCCTTGTTGCCGGTGCGGCCGGCACAATGCAAGGCTTCACAATGTCGGAGGCACCGGGCCGAACCAGGGGATCAGCGGCACCACGGGTGGGCCAGGGGCCGCGCCGGGCAGGGCCGCTCCCATGGGTTTGTCGATCGAAACCTCATCACGACATGACACCACGACGAGTCCGTCCTGCCGCCTGCGCGCGCCCTGCGCCCCCCGCCCCGCTCGTTAGACCCCTGCTTCTCCATCCGCCCCGGGCCGGGGCCCGCGGCCCGCACGCACCCCGGGGGCCGCCGCCACTCGAGCGTTTGGTTTGACGTTCCGCTTGGACGCGAGCCAGTCGTCAGCCCGCCCGGCCCGTCAGACTCGTCGTGCGCCGGTCGCGGGCGACACATCGCTAATAAACTCGGGCTATTGGACGCCGGCCGGGCGCGGAAGTTGGATCGCGCGGACTACAGGGAGTTAGCCAAGGGAGTTAGGACCTGATCTCGCCACCGCGACTACCTCCATATTGTAGAACACAACCACGTGGTTTTCCAGCGAATAGGTTTCAGTCTCCTCTAATATAGTCCAGGCAACGATTTACAGTTATTCCACAACACTGGACAGTCCTGGATATACCTGAAGATGGTAACTGCATTTATTTACAGAGCAATGTCCATTTGAGTGTATTGCTGGTATAATTGCACACACAGGCCGGAAATAAAAATCGTGAAAAAATGAAAAGAAGTAACAAACAGGAATAAAACAAGCTTATGAGACATAACGCGATTAATCTCTTTAGACAGTCCCCTAAAGACTGTCTCTACCAGAGGACAAAGTTCCCTCCCCCTCCTCACTCTCTATGTAGCACAGAGCGGGCCCTCGAGTGTGTGGCTGACGGGCGGGCCGGCGCGTTTGTTCAAGTATTCTCCCCTATTTCATTTTGAACGATATGATTATCAATTATGGGCAAATTACGGGCTCCTCGCTGGCCTTGCGAAAATGGCTCTTACTGCCGAGCGGATTGATTTTAAAGATTCAAGGCAGTTGTAACCGAACCTAACCCTCTCCTCTCCCCCTTTTCTGTTCTTTGCTTACCTGGTCCATCCCTCCGACCGTGTGCGCTCTTGGGGTGGCTCCTCTGGGACCGCGCTCGGTCAGCGGTCAGCGGTCAGCTCGCCAACAAGTGCCCGGCCGTCATGGCACTGCAGACGCCGGACGCCGCAGTCCTGGCCGCCGCCGGCCGGTCGCCGACAGTGGTCGCCTCAGAAAGCAGACGAGACGACTGCAGCGGCGAGGAGCTTCGCTTCGCCTCTGCCTCAGCGGCCGCTAACGCGGTTGGCAGCGGCAGCCGATGGGACGGTCTGATAACGCGACACACTCGGGCGGCGGATTGGACGAGCGACAGTGCGGCTCTGTTTGATTGGAGCGCTGATTTCAGAAGAGAGTGACAGAAGGACGGAGGGAGGTACAAAGGGAAGGAAGGGATGGAGTCGTCGCGCGAAGCCTTGCCGGTGGCGGCGTCCGGCCGGTGACTCTGAGGGACTGAGGTTGTGAGGCTGCGAGGACCAGACCGCCACGGGGAACACCCCCTCGCCCCGCCCG